TCACGACCTTGAGGCAATGGCGCCACGCGTCGGCTGAAATGAGCCCGCTTGATTCGTGGTGCCGTCGTGTCGTTGTGCCGTGCTGTGCCGCCACGTCGTGCCGTCGATGTCAGCTTCCGTGCCGTGCCGTGCGGTGCCGCGCCGTGCCGTCGCGCCGTTGAGACGTGGCGCCGTGCCGTGCTGTGCAAGGAGGCGTTGTTTCTGGCTTACGCAGCTGGGCGTCGCCGCTATGTTGGCGTGAATCCCTTTGTGGTGTGCCCACTATGGGTGTGTGACCATTATTTGCGTGTCACCACTATTTTGTGTGACCATTATTTTGGTGCGACCACTATTTTGGTGTGACCACTATTTCGGTGTGGCCACTATTTTGTCTAACCAATATTCTGGTGTGACCACTATTTTGTGTGAGCACTATTTTTGTGTGACCACTATTTTGTGTGACTACTATTTTCGGCAGTCCTGGTTGGTCTTGGCTTTGGGAGATCGTCTTGTCACTCCCAGGTGGCGGTGCGCAGTTTGCATTTTTTTTTTTTTTTTTATTTATATATATATATATTATATATATATTATGATTGTTATTATTATTATTATTATTATTTATTATCAGGGGTTCGTGCTCCAACAATTAGTGGGCGCACTAGTGGTCACCAGTCTCCCTTACCGCACTCGTCTCTGCATCATCCTCCCTGTCTCTCCTTCCTCGTGCCCGCTTCGTTCGGCCCGCCGTGGGTCGCTTCCAGAGGTTCCCCGGAGGCATGGAAGGGGGGGGGGGGAGTCGAGCGGAGGAGGCCGAGGAGCAGGAGGGGGAGGTAGGCGAGCAAAGGGGGCGAGGAGGGGCGCCTGCCCCTTCCTGGGCGTTTTCCAAGGTGGCCGGCGCCAGCGGCCGACCGCTACTTGGGGGGCCGCTCGCACTCGGTCGGGGCAGCGGCGTCGCCGCGGCTGGGCGCCGCCCGAAAAACTGGTCACCGAGGATCCCGGAGCGGGTTCGCCTTGTCCTCCTCCTCTTCTTGCTCCTCCTCGTCGCACTCGCCTCCGCCGCCTCCGCTTCCCCTCCTCCTCCGCCTTCTCCTTCTCGTCGTCCTCGTCCTTTTCGTCCCCCGCGTCGCTTCCTTTTTCCTTTTGCTCGGGGTTCGCGTCGTCCGCTTCGGCGTCCTCGTTGGCCTCGCTCGCCGCCCTACTCCTGTGCCTCCTCCTCTTCCTCCTCCGTTCGCACGTTCGCCTCGCCCCGTCCCGAGTCGGAGCGCCCTCCTTCGAGCGCAAATTTCGTCGTTCACGCTCTCTCCCCTTGTCTGCCTCCCTCGTCTCCATCCGTCCCGCTTCATCGTTGTCGTTGTCCGTTTCTCCTGCCGTATTCTTTCTCGGTTTCCTTCTTCTCGTGCTCCCGTTCTCCTCGTCGACCTCCTTCTCCATTATTCCTCCCCTTCTCGACCGCGCTATCTTCTTCCAGCCGTTCGCCCTTTTCTTCGCTCTTATCTTCGTCCTGTTTTCTCTGGCTTCGATCTCCTCGCTCCTTTCCTTGACCGTTGTCTTCTCCTGGCCTTCCTCCTTTTTCTTGGCCCCCTCCTGCTTCTCGTCCTCGGCCTCTCCCTGCTGCTCCTTTCGGCCTCCTCCTCCGTCGCCTCCTCCTCCTCCTCCTTGACTTTCTCTTCCTCCTCCCCTCCAGCTTTGCCGGTTCTTGCTGTGTGGTTTGAGCCCGTTTTCGCCGTGACGCACCCAGCCGTCGCGCTATCGCCACGGCTGGGCGCCGCTGGAGAAGCTGGCGTGGGATGGGCCCCGCGGTCGCCCGGGGCCTGTTTCGCGGGGACTGGGCGAAGCGAACGAGAGAGGCGGACTTTCAGCTCCTTCATTTCTGCAGCTGCTCTTGCTCTGGCTATGCCTTGAGCATAGCGGCGCGCGCCCCTTGCCGAGGCCCAGCAGGCGGCCGCCGCCATGCAGGCGGCCGAGGCTGCGGCCCAGGAGCGCGGGGACAGTGACGACGACGCCTTGGAGGACAACGGCGACAGCGTCCTCGAGGCAATCGAGCGGGCCGCCGCGGACCGGCCATCGAGGCTGCTGGAGCAGGGCCGCTCGAGGTAAGCGACCTTCCGCAAAGGCTTGGGGCGGCAGCTCGACGAAGCGCTCGACGCGGCTGCGTTGCAGTCAGCCCTGACCAAGGCGAAAAAGCAGAAACTCATCGGGACCCGCGAGGAGCGGCTGCTGAACCAAAAGCTGCGTAACCTCCAGGAGGCGAAGGTGCTACCTGCGAGTTTGTCTTTCAACATGGTGTTTCGGCCAGCGTCTGAGACCGCAGCTTGGGAGTGGACGGGGCGCCAGCGCGCGGTGGAGGGCGCCCTGTCTGGGATTATCTGGTTCCCGGACGGCCGTTACGGGCTGGGCTTGACATGCCTTCCCGCGCAGGATTCTCCAGCCTTCTCCTCGCTGGAAGACGCGAGAGAGGCTTTTGATGCTGTGATCCGCGGCAACGACATGCTGCGGCCACAGTTGGGCGCTTATTTGGTCGGCCGCCCCACGGCGGATGAGGTGGAGGCGCGCTGCGGCGCGGACCTGGGGCGGTGGAAGGCCGCGTGCTTGGCGCAGGGCTTGCGGCCCGACCATATCTACCTCCCAGGAAGGGCGCCGGGCGCCTGGGCCGTGCGCGCCCGCGTGCCCTATCACAGGGTGAAGACGGACATGGCGCGCGACTTGGGCCCAGACCTGGGCGGCTCGAAGTCTTTCGTCGTCCTGGGCCGGTGGGGGCGCGCGCTGGAGACGCCCATCGCGGTGCCCGACGTGCTGCGGCCGATGCTGCAAGCGAATCATGCGGGGCAGGGTTGCCGCAAGGGCGCTCTCCCGAACAAGTCGTTGCGGGCGCTGGCCGCCGAGCTGGGCTTTGCCATGCCGCGCCGCCTGCCGGCGGAGGTGGAAGTGCGCTACTGCTCGTGCCCGTGCCCGCGCAAGCGGGTCAGCCCGTGCGACTGGCAGGGCACGCTCAGCTTGGCTATCTGCTCTCCAGGAACCCGCGCCTCGGTGGCGAAGGCGTTCCGCGAGCGGGGCGCCCTGCCCCTGGTGGCGGCGCTGCGTCGCGGCGAGTTGGCGGCGTGCTTTCTTTCTGGGGCGGTTGTCAGCGCGGGCCAGTACCACGCGGAGGGCCTTGCAAAGATCGCTGTGCGATGAGGGCCGCGCCCGCCGCGCTTCGGCGCAAAACAGCACCTCTTCAGGAGGGCCGGGCAAAAACAGACCCCGCCGCCGTCGCCGTCAGCAGCGTCATCGGCGCCGCCGCCTTCGCGGCCCACATCGTCAGGGGTGCTGCGGCCGGCGTCCTCTGTGCTTCGGTAGCCGCCGCGGCCGCCCTTGTCGTGGCCATCGCCGCCGCTGTGGCCATCCCTGCCGTTCCTATCTTGTGGCCTTCGGCTTATCTGGCCTGTCTCCGCTGGCCCTTTGCTGGCGCTGCCGCCGCCCCCCTATCCTCCTCGTCCTCCTTCGCCCTCCTCCTCCGAAGCGCCCTCCTTCTCCAGCGCCTCTTCCTCCTCGTCCAGCTTCTTTCCCCTCCTCGCTCGTCTTCCTCGCTCTCTTCTTCTATTGGGGTCTTCGGGCCTGTTCGGGGAAACAGTGGGGGCCCTCGCTGTCTGTTGGCAGGCTTCTCTCGGGTTTCTACGGGCGGGGGGTCTCGGTTTTCATTCCGCGGGCCCGGGGGTCTCCCCCAGGCCTGCCCGCGGTAGACCGGCAAACTTCGATCTGAGAGGGCCGTCGGTCCCTGAGGGCCCGCGCGCGCCCCCCCAAGGAAGCAGCTTTCAGGCCCGGCGCGTTTCGGCATTTCGCTCCTGGCCTCATGGATGGGGACCTCAGGAGGGAGGGCTGTGGCCTCAGGAGTTGGGCAGGGGACTGAGCGCGCGCCCTTTCCGAGCTCAGGGGCGCGGTGGCGGATCGGGCTCGTCTTGTGCAGGCGGTGGCGCAAGCGCGGCGTGTCGACTCCAGGGGCGCGCCGATTTCGAGGTAGATTTCGCCGTGACGCTGACGTCCGTCACTCCTGGCCCTCTCTCGAGGCTTCGTTAGCAGGGCGTCGGGTCGCCAGCCTCGGGAGAGAGAAGGGCGAGACAACGGTTATTTTGCTCGCCTTTTGGGGCCCTCCTCGTCGGCGCGGCTCGGCGCAGTCCGGAAAAGTCAGGCGGGTGGGCCGCGCAAGGAATCCAGGAATAGATTGTGAAGCGATTTGTCCTGCTTTTGTATTGCGAGGGCCTTCTGATAAGGAGATGCGGCAGATCTTGGCGCGACCCCCGTTGTGCTCCCGATGGGGCTCGCCGGCCCGCTGCGGAGGGGATTCGCTCGGCGGCCGTGCCCTGTGCGTTGCGCGATCCAACGGGGGCCAGTCATCGCTCGAAGTGGCGCCGGCCCTCTTTTCCAAAATGCAAGGGCGGATGCTCCCAAACCGTCATCAGGGGAAGAGGGGGGGTCGCGTTCATATTGAGTAATTGTGGAGGAGGGGGGGGGGGGATGGGGGGGTGGGCGGGTGGGGTGTGTGGGGGGGGAAGCGGCAGCAACAGGTGAGACACGATCGGGAACGTGTGATTATCGCTGGGGCGCTGCGCGCATTCGTTCTCAACGTTGCCGCCGTCGTGCGAAACGACGCGTCGACGTGCTAAAAAATTGCGCGGTGGACCCAGCGCCGCGCGCAGTCGTCGTCAAAGTTGCCATCTATTGGGCGGGCCGGCATGTCCGTTGCTCCAAGTGGCGCCGTCGATTGCGCGTCGCGCAACAGGCGGCCTCCGACCGCCAACGTGGCTGGATATTCAATGTCCGCTCTAGGCGTGCTGCGCTGGGTGCCGCGGCGGACTGGGGTCCGACTTTGGGGCTGCAACACAGACGATGCAACGGTTTGCCGAGGACTGTTGGTAGCAGTTATTCAACCAGCTTCGCGGATGGAGGGCGGGTATTTTCTTCCTTCCGTAGCGCCGGGCTAAAGTTGAAGTCAACGTTGTTGCGGTCGCCGACGCGCGGGGGACAGGCGTTTCCACTCGGCGGCGATGGCCAAGGGCGCCGCTTCCAATCCTCGGAGAGCGGCCAAGGTGATGAAAACGCCCAATAAGGACGCATATGTGACCAAGGCGCAAATGGCGCAGTGCCCCAGCCCGCCCCTCGACACCGTCGTCGATAGAGGCGCTACTGGGGAAAGAACGCAACCTGGGGGGCGGACCGAGAAACAGCAGGTGGCCCGCTTCATCGAGCGGGGGCTCTCGCACATTCCTGAGTCCAGGATTAAGACGCTTCGCGACGCCGAGGGGCAGTCCATCGCCACCTATGTGGAGGAGGAAATGCGCAGGAGGAGGGCCCACCAGGGGCGGCTGAGCGGGCACTTCCTGCAGCAGTTGCATGCCGACTTCCAGCTGGAAGCTGGCGCGTGGGATGACCCCCCGCCGCCCGCAGAGGGCGGTGCCCTGGGCGAGGGGCCCCGGGATCTCGTGATGCAGTGCCGCGGCGAGAACGAGGTGACGCGATATGTGAAGCCCCATATGCTGCTACTTGGAGACGTGCGGCGAGCTGGGCGAGGCCAACTACCACTCTTTGTTGCAGAGCGGCCTCCCAGGCCCAATGCTGGGTGCCACAAACTCTCGGACAATCCACGTCGCAATCTTGGGATGCATCGCTCGTTTTGGCCTGGGTGCGAAGTTCAAGGCGCATTGGGGTGTCGTCGCCCGCGAGTTGGGCAACAGTTGGAGGCGCTGCTTCGGGGGCGCCGTGGCCGAGGGACTTCGCGTGAAGAACTTCCTCAAGAGCAGGCAGGGCATCATGCAGCTCCTCTTGGACAACCGCGTCGTGAACGCCCTCGTGAAGGCCGACGGCGAGTGCTCCCGGTGCTGCGGGGAGGTCTGCGCCGTGATGGTGGGCAGCTGCGTGACAGGGGGGGCATTGTTCCAGGATAAGTGGCTCTCCTGCGCGAACGCTCCCTTCAAGGGGGAGTGCGTTCGCCAGTTGCGGAGCCTGGGGCGCAGCGACTTCGACGCCGACGAGATCGCGGGCTACGCGAGCATGCTGGGCCAGCGGGCCGCGGAGTTAAGGAAGTTGGCGGGCAAGAAGAAGAACATGTTGAGCAACGTGTTCGAGCTGCGCGGCGTGGCCCTGGACGCCGTGGAAGGGGGCGGCCCTCGGGGCGCAGCGCTGTTCGTGCTGAGGAACCGCGTGGCCACCATCGCCGTCAACAACGGCCAGTTGACGCCCTTGTGGTGGGATCGGCGGACGCGGGCACTTTGGGGGACGCCAGCAAGAAAGTAGCCAGCAAGACGAAGACGCTCCTCGACGAGGGCCGCAACTTCAAGTGCCACATCCAGTTCCTCACGAAGCACGTTCCTGGGCTCCTTCGGGCCGAGCTGGACCGACAGGGATTGCAGGCCGTGCCCAACGCTGGCGCGGGCGCCGCTTTCGACGAGACGCTGGAGCTGCTGAATGCCGCGCGCGGGTCCGAGCTTGCAGCCGCGCCCGGCGAGACGGTGTGCGAGACGGTGTGCGAGGAGCTGTTTGGCATCTACGACATCGTTCGCGGGGTTAGCCTAGGCCGGCCTCCGCTGGGCAAGGGCGCGAAAACGTTCGGCGACCTCGCGCCGGGCGTCCTGGCCCGCGCCCCGTCCCTTCTCTCCTCTTACCCTTGAGACTGCGAGTGCAAGTGCGCGCAGTCAGAGATGCGGGCGCGGGGGAAGCGCGCCGCCCCTGCGGTCTACGGCGCCGACGGATGACAAGCGCGGCGGCGACGGCGCGACGGTGGACGTGGAGGCCTTGCGACCAGTCAAGCGCTTCAAGTGGCTGCTCGAGGGTGGGCAGATGGTCGTGTTCTCGAAGTGGCTGCGCGACGCCTTGCCGACGGCTGTTAGCGCCGCGCCGAAGCCCATCACAGACGACAAGGTCGACGACAGGGGCGAGGAGAAAAGGGGGGGCCCGCCGTCGCGAAGGCTCCGTCGGGCTCCAGCTCCAGCAAGGGCCCTGCTGGCGCGCCGAGCTCCTCCCCCGGCGCAGCGGGCGCAGAGCAGAAGAGGGCATCCAATGCGAAGAAGCAGGCGCTGCTTCAGGAACTCAGGCACGCCAGGGGCCCGAAGGCGAAGGCCTGAGCCCCGAGCTGCCGCGCGCGTCCTCGCGCATGCCTCCGCCCGCCCCCTAGGCACCCCCAGCCGCTCCTGCCCTGGTCCCACCCCGCGTTCCTTGGATGCCCGAGAGCGCCCCAGCTCGGCCGTCGCCGCCGCGGCAAATTGACTCGAGCGCCCGAAGGCGGCGCGGCGGCGCGCGCCCCGCGCCCGCTTAGATTTCGGAGCAGATTTCGCCGTAACGCCGGGGGGCGACTTCGGAGGTCCACGGAGGCGACTTCGGAGGCCCCCGGGGGCGACTTCGGAGGCCCTTTTGGCCCGGTTTTCGAGGGCGCCTCGAAACTGGGCCGATTCGCTCGGCGCTCTGGTGCGCAAGGGCCGCGCGATCGTCTGATGAAGCTTGGGTCGATCTCGCCGTCCTTTTCTTTTGCTCGCTCTTCCTCGCGTTCCCCCCGGCCTCTCTCTTACTCTCGCTCTCCCCCGCTAGCGGTCTCGTTGTGTCCCACTGCATATCCCTGTCTCTCTTGCTCTACCTCTATCCCTCTCCCTTTTTCTCTCTCCTTCTCTCGCTCGCTCTCCCCTGCGCGCCCCCCTCCCCCTCGCTTATCTCCCCGACAGCTTGGGCTGTCGCATTCGGCTCGTCCCGCCGCCGCGCCCAGGCCCCGATGATTGTCCCGGCGGTTGTCCTCATGGGTCGCCTCATTGGCGTTTGCGCCGAGGTTGTTTCGCGCGTGCCCCGGGTTTGCTTCGCGGTTGCTTTGCGGTTGTCCTTTGATTGCGCCACGCGTGTTTCGGGCCCCCGCGGTTCCCTCGATGATAGTCCCGAAGGTTGTCCAGGTGGTTGTTCCGATGGTCGCGCTCTGGCGCGCGCCCGGGTTTGCTTCGCGGTTGCTTTGCGGTTGTCCTTTGATTGCGCCACGCGTGTTTCGGGCCCCCGCGGTTCCCTCGATGATAGTCCCGAAGGTTGTCCAGGTGGTTGTTCCGATGGTCGCGCTCTGGCGCGCGCCGATGGGCGGTTAGTTCGTAAAAGCGATAGTTGCGGTGCGTTTTTTTTTTTTTTTTTTTTTTTTTTTTTTTTTTTTTTTTTTTTTTTTTTTTTTTTTTTTTTTTTTTTTTTTTTTTTTTAAAAAAAAAAAAAAAAAAAAAAAAAAAAAAAAAAAAAAAAAAAAAAAAAAAAAAAAAAAAAAAAAAAAAAAAAAAAAAAAAAAAAAAAAAAAAAAAAAAAGCTGGCGCACGGCAGGGGCGCGCGACGCAACGTGCATGTGTCGGTGCGTTTTGCTCGCGCAGATCCATAAGAGCGCGCGCTGGATTGTGCCGTGATCAGGCGGGCTCGCCCCGCGCCGAGGACCACCGTGCGCTACCTCAGCGGCCGTCGAACCGCCCAGCTTCTCTGAACGCGCGCGGGGGCGCTGCGGCCCAAACCGAAAGTGAAGAAACGCTTTTCAAAAAGGTCTGCCTTAAGGGGCACGCATTCCGATGTGTGGGGCCTCCCTCACTGAACGTTGCTCTTGAGGGGGGGGCCCTGGAAAAGCGGGGGGGAGCGGCGACGGGCCCAGGGAAAAGGGGGAAATGGGAGGAGGGGGGATGGGTCCAGGGAAAGGGGGGGCGCAAGGACAGGGGACGACTGGGCCAGGGAAAGGGTGGGCGCAGGGACAGGAGACGACGGAGACGACGACGAACGGGCGACGGGAACGGACGAGCCCGTCACACACGCCTGCGCAGGGTCGGCTTTTTTTTTGGGGTGTTTTTGATGTTGTCGAACATCCGCCTGTAGAGGGACATGCCCGACCTAAGCCTTGTGGCGCGCTCAGGGGGACGTTTTGGGGTGTTTTAGGGGCTTGTGGGAGCTTCGGAGGAGGAAGAGGTCCCCGATATCGCCGCCCTTCTCTGGCTTTCCCCTCTTCGGGGCCTCCTGGGGCCCTCTCGCCGCCGCCGTTGGATTCGCTTCGAAATCTTGGTCAGAACGCACCTTGGGGAGGTCTGGGGGGTAGCGGTATCGGCATTTGTCCCCCACCTTCTCCTCTTCCTCCCCCTCCCCCGCCCCCGCCCCCTCCCCCTCCCCCTCCTCCTCCTCCTCCTCCTCCTCCTCTCCTCCCCTCCTCCTCCTCCTCCTCTCCTCCTCCTACCCCCCCTCCTCCTGTTCCTCCTCCTCCTCCATTTTTCTCTTTATACATAGCTTCTCCCTGTCGCACCCCGAGGCCAGCTTTTAAGGCGGGCCGGGCGTTTCGCATGAGACTTCCTCACCACTCATGACTCTGATGAAGCTTAGCAATTGGCAGCAGGTTGACAGATGGAGGGCAGGTTGTTTGCAAAATGTGGCTCTTGCGTTTTGCGCCGCGCGCCTTCGTCTTAAAAACTTCCAAGGGTTTTGCGGATTGAGGGCGGGTCGTTTTCAAGATGTGACTCTCGCCCCAGCGCCGCGCACATTTTTTGAAACAACTTGCAAGAGTTTCACGGATTGAGTGCGAGTTGTTTTCAAACTGTGGCTGTCGCCATAGCGCCGCGCACGTTCTTTTTCAGCATTTGCAAGAGCTTCGCGGATTGAGGGCGGGTGGTTTTCAAAATATGGTTCTCGCTTCAGCGCCGCGCACAGTCATCCCCAACAACTGAAACAATAATATGTGTGTATATATATATGTATTAAGCAAGGCAACGGATTGAGGGCGGGCCGTTTTCAAAATGTGGCTCTCCCTCTAGCGCCGCGCACCTTCGTCTTAAACATTTGCAATAATTTCGCGGATTGAGGGCGGGCCGTCTTCAAAACGTGGCTCTCACCTCAGCGCCGCGCGCATTCCTTTAAAACGTTGCAAGAATTTCGCGGATCGAGGGCGGTTCCTTTTCAAAATGTGGCTCTCGCCTTCGCGCCGCGCACATTCTTGTAAACAAGTTTGCAAGAGTTTCACGGATTCCCGTGGTCAGCGTACCAGAAATCGTGTTTTGGACGGATTCTGGATTATGCGGGTGCAACCGTTATGTTGATTTGCGATGTCGAAGTTCCAAACATGGCGTGTTGGCGTGATTCCAGGTGGGCAAAACGCAGCAGTCAGGCTAATCCGTGGCGTGGAAATCCAGACAACAATGTTTTGACACGCTTTAAGGTCTTCAAACGGTTGTCTTCCAACGAGGCAGTCCCTTCAATGGAAATGAACCGTTGTAGCGGCTTATATAAAGAGGGAGCTTGGAGGGAGGGTTCATTCCAACATCGTAGATGACTATTGGGTTGACGCTGGTCCTCCTCCTCCTCCTCCTTTTCCTCCTCCTCCTCCCCCTTCCCCTCCTCCCCCTCCCCCTTCCCCCTCCCACTTTCCTTCACCCTCCCCCCACTCCCCCTGCCCCTCCTCCTCCCTTTCCTCCTCCTCCTTCCCCGCTTCCTCCTGCTGCTGCTCCTCCTCCTCCTCATCCTCCTCCTCCTCCTCCTCCTCCTCCTCCTCCTCCTCCTCCTCCTCCTCCTCCCCCTGGTGCAGTCGAGTCCGTGACCGCCTTGGCTCGAGCCAGCTCGCGCTCGGCCGGGTCTTCCTGGACCCCTCCGCTCGTCGTCGTCTCCTCGCCGCTTCTGCGGCGGGAAGGGGGGGTGGAGCGTGCGGGCTGCGGAGGCGGAGGGAAGGGCAGATGAGCAGGGCTCATTTCGATTCCTCCGATTCGATTCGATTCGATTTCGATGTTCTCCGATTCCGATTCGATTCGACTTCGGATTCCGATTGGGATGCCGATTCCTCAATGGAGGCCTACTAGCCTCCGATCTCTGCCGATTCGACTTTTACCGACTTGGCTGCCGCCGCCGATCCGACTCATTCCGATCGCCGATCCGACTTATCGACTTGATTTTGGGCTGTCCTGGGGGAGAGGGACCAGGCTAGCAGCGAGAGCAGCGGCCTGGCCACTGGTGATGATCTCGAATGCCACTGGCAGCATCACAGCTCGCCCGACAGCTGGTTATGTATGTTGCCCATGCCCCGACGGGCAGAGGTAAGGTAAACGGCGCGCTTTGCTCGCCGTGGCATGTGATCGGGCCGTGCCCAGCAGCCCTCAGCCAGGACTCACGGGCGCCTTCTGGAGGGTTTCTCCGAAGGGCTTAGGCAACCCGTCCTCATCCTCCTCCTCCACCTCCCTCTTCCTCCTCCTGTTCCTCCTCCTCCTCCTCCTCCTCCTCCTCCTCCTCCCCCTCCTCCTCCCCCTCCTCTCGCTCCTCCCCCTCCTCCCCCTCCTCCTCCTCTCCTCCTCTCCTCCTCCTCCTCCTCCTCCTCCTCCTCCTTCCTCCTCCTCCTCCTCCTCCCCCTCCCCTCTTCCCCCTCCTCCTCCTCCTCCTCCTCCTCCTCCTCCTCTCCTCCTCATCCTCCTCCTCCTCCTCGGGTCGCCTACGGCCCTGTGGGAAACTTTGCACCCAGCAGCTTTCAGCCAGGACTCAAGGGCGCCCTCGAGTCCACACGCCAGCGGGTGGCGGAGAGGTCTGTGGAGGAATGAGGGATCGGACTCACGGGCGCCCTCGAGTCCACACGCCAGCGGGTGGGGGAGAGGTCTTTGGAGGAACGAGGGGTCGGACTCACGGGCGCCTTCGAGTCCACACGCCAGCGGGTGGGGGAGAGGTCTTTGGAGGAACGAGGGGTCACTGGATGAACAAGGGCAAGGAAAGGGGGGGAGGGGAACCCAGGATATAGCAGAGGCGGACACGATGGAGGTGGATGAGGGGGGAGGGGCACGGTGTGTGAGGCGAAGGAAGACAGGCAGAGGAGAGTGGCCATGGAGTTGGATGTTGATGGTCACGATGACGAGGAGGTCAATGATGAGGACGAAGTGCAAGGGGCGGAGGATGCCGATTATTGCTCTTGTTGTCGGTGGCATGCGGTGAGCCGGTGAGCGCTGCCCAGGCTTAACCTGAAGCGGAAGATGCAGCGATCGACGAACACCAGCGTCGGGCTCAGCTCCATTGGTGCTGAGATTCAGCAGGAGCGCTGTGTAGCGCTGCCTCCTCCTCGTCCTCACCTTCCTCCCCCTCCCTCCCTCCCTCCCTTCTGCCCACCTTCCCCCTGCCTCCCTCCCTCCTCCCTCCCTCCCTCCCTCCCCCTCCCCCTCCCCCCCTCCCTCCCTCTCCTCCTCCCTCCTCCTCCCTCCTCCCTCTCCCTCCTCCCTCCCTCCTCCCCCTCCCCTCCCTCCCTCCCTCCTCCCTCCCTCCCTCCCTTCTGCTCCTGCTACTCCCGGCCCTTTTCCTCTGTCCAGCTGCCTGGGGCAAGTTCCGCCACCGAGCCAGACCAGCACCCTGAGGTGCTCAGGGCAGGACAGCACAGGACGCCAAGACAGCACGGGACAGCACACCACTGGTCGTGGAACGTGCAGGACACGAGGCCGTAGTTGTGACACCTGGTGCCCCCATCCTTGCTGCAGGGCCAGAACATGTGACGCACATTCTTCCGCGTCGTGTCGTCTTTTCCTCCTGCTCTGGACTTAGCTGTGTTCCTCCCTCTCATCCGTCCCTTCTCTTGGGCTCCAGTGGGGAAGGGCTTGGGGGTCCCTGGGGCCTTTTTGGGCGGTCTTGGGGCCCCCTTGGGCCGTCTTGAGGAGGGTTTCTTGGCAGGGCTGGACCCAAACGCTGTTCTGCTGGACTTCAGCTGTGTTCTGTTCTTCGTTTTGACAGGGAGGTACAGGAACAACAACATAAAACAACAACACAACCGTCTTGAGGAGGGTTTCTTGGGCCGTCTTGGGGCCCTCGTGGCCGTCTGGGATGTCTCCTGCGGCCGTCGTGTCGGGACGGCCGCCATGAGGCAGCCCAGGGACGGTTCCACGACGGTCGCGGGGCACCTTTGGGCTGTCTTGGACCGTTGAGGGGCTCGTGAAGGCTGTCTCGGGCTCCTCCGGATCAGCATCGTTTACCCGATCCCTGTCCCCATCCCCATCCACATTTGGATCTCCACTGTCTCACCACCTCAGTTGGGGATATGCCCCTCGAAACCCGAAGAGAGCAGCTTATATCCCTATCCAGGGGGGGTAGTATCGGATACTGGGGCCCAGCCCATGCAGGTGGGGATGGGGATCTTTTAACCGATGCTCAGTTCCTCGGGAGGCTCCTTGGGGCCAGCCTGGCTCTTGGGAACCGTCCTGTTCTGTCGAGAGACCCCCTCTTGACGTCTTGGAGGAGTACTGGGCTTCCTGAGGGCCCTCCATCATTACTCACCAAACCACCCCACTTTCCGGTTTTGGGTGTGGAAGGGTTGCGCTGTGTTTTCCAAATGTTCCCGAACGCCCCCCGAACTGGAAATTGACAGGCCCAGACGGCGACTTCGGGTTGGACTTGGGGCGGTTTGGTGAGTATGTAGTCGCGCTTGGGCCCTCGTGGGGCCATACAGTCGGGGCCCTGAAGAAGGAACCCTTCTCGTTGGGGAGGGGCTCCGCGTTCCTTAAGTGGTTCACAGCTTGCCTCAGGTTGTCCTCAGGTTTTCGATAGGACATCGAAGTTTAACTTATGGAAAAAAGGGGCCTCGTTCCTTATTTAGGGTTCCTTAGGTCAACGCCACGACTGTATTGGAGACCTCTGTGGCCGCGTGGAGCTGAAGGCAGCCTGAACAGGTGCATCGGCCTGGTTTGCCTGCCTCGGCCGTTTTGGAAGCTCGAGAGCGCGGATCCGCTGGTTTTAATTGGAGGAGGAGGAGGCGGAGGAGGAGGAGGAGGATACCTACAGTTGTATACCAGGGATCGTGGCCTCGGGAGCGCAGATCCACTGTTCTTCACTCGGGATCGTGACCTCGTAAGCGCGGATCCATAGTCTTCACGACCTCGCGACCTCGGGAGCGCGGGTGAATTGCTTTTTTTGCAAGGGAACTGGTGGGGACTATTGCACAAGGCTTATCAGGCAGCTTGTGACATTCTACCACCTCTCAGCGTGCCAGGGGGCATGGTGTTGGGTACTTCCCTATTCCCTATTACTCATTCCTCCCCTCCTCGCTCCTCCTCTTCCTCCTCCTCCTCCCCCTCCTCTTCCTCCTCCCCTTCCTCCCTCCCTCCCTCTTTCGTCCTTCCCTCAGCCGCCTTCTTCTCTTACATCTCCCCTCTTCCCTCTCCCCTCCTCCATCTTGCCCTTCTCCGCTTCCGTCTCCTCCTCCCCCCATCCTTGCTTTTTCTTCTTCCCTGCTTCGCTCCCTCGCTCCGTCCCTCGTTGCCCCCCCTTCCGAATCACCTGACTGCCCGCCTACCAACCCATCGACTCACGGACCTACCAGTTTGCCAACCAACCATGCGCACACAGAGTTGGGCGCATCGCCTGTTCACGAGGGTCTCCTTCCAGGCATCGAGGACATGACTGGGCCGACCAGGCCGCGAAGCTTGGCGCCAGCAGCGCTTCGCGAGGTCTCAAAGGAAGAGCGCACCGGGAAGTGGCCCGCCCTGTGGCAATCTCGAGGGCTGCGGCACAGGGCCCGGCTTGACTAATGCACACTCACTTTTCAAGAGGGGCCTTGTCGTTCCTTCGGCTCGCGTGCGTTCCGCTACCCCTTTTTGGCGGCGGGCGCCCCTGGTGTTCCTTCCGGACTTCCTGGACTTACTTGGGAAATAAGGGGGCCTCGCCCCTGCTTCTATCATCGCAGGCCTAAAGGTTGACACCAACACCAATATCGGCGGTGTGCCTCCATCGAGGGAAGAAGATCCCGATATCGGTGATGGTGGTAGTATTTTGGCTTCCAAGGTGTCCGAACTATTACCACCAACACCGAAATCTAGGATCATCTTCCCCCTGTGGAGGCACACCCCTGCGTTGGTGTTGGTGCCCATTTCCAGGCCTCCAATATCGGTCCTTGGGTCGGGCCGCATACTGTACAGCTCGCGGCGAAGCTCCCGCAGACCTCGTTGCCGACGGCGCGCCCGGGCGGGGCGGGGGGTTCGGCGGGCCCCGCCTCGGGGTTTCGGCGGCGGGGCCGCCGCCAAAAAGGCCCCGCGAGCTGCTCTCTCTGTGGCTTGGCATCGCTCGGACGTGTGCATTTTCCCTTCGGCGAGGACCATCGAGGAGCATCCTGGATCATTTGGCGAAAAAAGACACGCACGAAACCGACAAAAAGCACAGGGAATGGACGTCCGAGCGATGGCGAGAGTGGGGCGGCCACTGCTGCGCAGCTTTGATCACTGCCCGGGCTGCTTCAGGGGGGCTCCCGTTCAGCGTGCATCTAGGCCTCCTAGACGGGGTCGGAGCAGATTCGGGAGGGGAAAACACATACAGACACAACTATCTGTCGATTCCCCAGAAGGTGTAGGAACATATTGGAGGGGGGGGAGACAACACCCAGAACATATGGGGAAATATGGGGAATCCTGTTATTTGTGTCTATTTATTTGTGTGTCCCAGGGCCCCTTCAAAGATGGGGTTGGATGATCGCGCCGCATCGCCGATGCATCGCCGATGCGGCTCGCTGTGGGGCCCCATTTGCTTCACGTCGGCGGCGCCGATGCATCGCCGTCGTGGCCGATGCATCGCCGATGCCTCGGTGATGCATCGCCGATGTGTCGTCGATGCGGCGCGATCCCCCGATCCCATCTGCTCGGACCTCATCAAAGGAGGCCTCTGGTGCAAGTCTCATGGAAAATCTCCAGGAGGACGGTGTGCAGAGCAGTTCTGAGCTCGGCTGCAGGCGTGGTGCGTCACGAAAGCTCGGCAGCCGCCTTGTCGCTGAAGACCGGAGTGACGTTTTTGTTGGCTTTGTGCATCTGCTTGCGGTGCGGGTGCTTCCACCTCTGGTGCGAGGCGCACACGTGCCAGTGGAGGCACGCAGGTCCTCTCGCCGAGCCACACGAGCGCGGGAATCGACGGCGGTTCGGCAGAGGACTCCGCCCGAAACGGTCTGGGGTCACAGTCGAAGATTTTCCAGTTTCTTGCCCCGCTCACTCATCGCTCCAGATCTGGTCGGGAGCACTGTCCACTCCCCCCCATGTCCTCCCCCTCTCCCCTCTCCCCGCTTCCCCTTTCCACCTGTAGCTGCACATGATGAAAACTCCCCTCCTCTCCCCCCCGACTCCGTCCCGAAGACCCTCCGCCCTCGCCGTGCAGTCTTGTGTGCACACAGAATTTGAGCGCACACGTCTTCCCCACTGCTTTTGGCCTTCCACTCCTCCGCCCTCGCCTGGCCGTCCTGCTCCTCCCGCTCCGTCCACTACAGTTCCCGCTGCTGCAGGTCGTCCGCGTCCTCCTCCTCCCATTCGGGGGTGGACAGAAACCCCACCCCGACACGTCGATTGTGAATTGTCCGTTCTCGGTTCCCGGGAGGGCGCCGCGGCCGTCATTTTCCAGGCTTGCACCCGCCAGGTCTGGGCCCGGGGTCGTCTTCACTCAACCGCGCTTCCCTAAGGGGGGTATCTGTCCATTCCCGACTCATCCTCCCTCGTTTCTTCTCTTTCGCAGGCCAGCCACAACTGGGGGAGCTGTGGTCCTTGCCCCCCTGGGGGACCCATCGATTTCGACATCCCTCTCGAGCGATCGTCGAGGCGATGGGCTTCCCCAGGGGGGTAAGGACCACAGCTCCCCCAGTTATGGCTGGTCGGGTTCGGCTCATCCGCCTGCCCCAAGCCAACTCGCTCCTCCCGCTCCTGCTGCTCCAGCTCCTGCCGCTGTTGTTGCTGCTCGCCCTCGTGCTCCGCCCTCGCCATCTCGGCCACGCCCTCTCTGCCTTTTCCTCCCGCTCGTCCTCCCGTTCGCCCGCCACCTCCGCGTGTGTGCGCATGCTCCTCTACGTCGACTACGGCACCGCCGGATCCCGAGGCTTTGCCCCCTCCCGGCCTCGTTCTGAGGCTGAGCCCCCCTCTTCGTCCCCCTGCTCTGGTGAATTCAAGCTTCGCGCGGCCCGCTTAGCTTCGACCAGAAGAGGTGCGCTCTCGACCCGCGAATCAAAAAAGCTTCTGCGCAGCTCCTCTTGTGCGATTGCGCATAACACGACAAAGGGATCTTTTTGGAGTCCCAGACTCGCTGTGCCACGCGTCGAGCGCAGCGGGAAGGGATGGGATGGGAGGGATCGGGTGGCAGATGTGGTGCGAGCGCACCTGGCTTGCCTTCCCGCCCTCGCCCTCCTCTCCTCTCCCCCCTTCGCCCCTCCCCTGACTGCTGGCTCTGCCAGGACAGCCGGGCTTCTCCGCGTACTCTTCTGTTCTTGCGCAGGATTTCAGGCATACCGTTTCTGAAGTTTGTTGTGTTCTCCTATTGCTTCCGGTGTTTCCGATTGGTGTTCTCGCTGCAGCGTGGGCCTCGTTGTGGGATCGGCATTTTGCGCTCCCGTCGTTCGGAATGGTGTCATCGTCCCCTGCCGCACTGGCTTCTCCTTGTATCCGAGCCCCAATTGTTGTCGCCCCCCCCAATTTCTCTCTCCAGTCCTCCAGCTTCTCCCGGTTCTTCCACTCCAGCTCCTACTGCTTCTGCTGCTCGTCCTCGTCGTCCTCCCTCCTCCTCCTCCTCCTCCTCCTCCTCCTCCTCCTCCTCATCATCATCATCATCATCATCATCATCATCAGCATCATCATCATCATCATCATCATCCCCCTCCTCCTTTTCCTATTGCTCATCTTCCTGCCCATCCACCACCTCCTCCTTCTCCTCCTCCTCCTCCTCCTCCTCCTCCTCCTCCTCCTCCCCTCCTCCCCCCTCCGCTCCCCGACTCCCAGATTCTTTTTGATCCGCGGGTCGAGAGCGCACTTCTTCCGGTCGAAGCTAAGCGGGCCGCGCACAGCTTCAATTAATAGAAGGGGGGGGACAGAAGGAGGGGCCTCACGTCAAGGCCAGGAGGGGGCAAAGCCCCGGAATCAGGCGGTGCCGAAGATGATGTGCTTGCAAAGGAACGCCTTGTACAGGAACCCGGCGGCGAAGTACCGGAAGACCGACCCTCAGACATGCGACGTCGTCAATCTCCGCAGCGTGGACCCGGGAGGTCGGCACCTGTGACTCCGGGGCGAGCTTCTCCTCCCGCGAGCCGTCTTCTGGCTGTCCCGGGTCCTGTCGCCCCCCCCCGCCCCCTGGAGCACGAGAGCGGGCAGACACCTCCCGCCGTGATGTAGTCATGACGAGGGGCGTCTCTCGGTTTCGTCCCGAGTCGGGCTGCGGCGGCCGTGTGGGGGGCGACCCGGGCCCCTCGGGAGATGCTCGCGGCGAGGCGCAGGTGCTGGAGGGCGGCCCCGGGCAGGAAGAGCCTCCGACAGCCGGCGACGACTTCCGAAAGTCCCCCCCCCCCCCTCTTCGGGCGAGGAGAGCTACGTTGAAGTCGGGCATGTCCCTCTATGGGAGGAAGATTCAAAACTAGTCAGAAAATAGTCTGGGGGCGATGGTGGGATTTTTTTGACTAGGTGAGCGTGCCTCTATTGCTTCTCACAGTCAACCATGAGAGTAAGGATGGGGCGACTTGGCAAGGGTACCCTTGCATCCTTTGCAATTTTCGCTGGCCAGCGAAAGTCAACATGGCGTCCCAAGGCCCTTGCATCCTTACCCCGCATCCTTATAATTCTGTTTGACTAGTTCTTACATTTCTCACGAACTCTTGCCTGCATGGGGGACATGCCCGACATAGAACTACGTCACGTACACCGATCCTGGCCAGGCCCTCTCCGTGCCCAGCAGGATCGGCCTGGCCAGCTCGTGCGCGCAACCTGTCCCTGCCGGGTAATTGTGGCCAGGGCCCCAGGCGAGGGGACCCGCTTAGTGGCAGGGCCCTGGAACCCCTACAGTCAAACCCCCCCATAAGGATGCGCGACTTTGCTCAGGGTGCCCTTGCGTCCTTGCTCTTCCTTGCTCTTGCGGCTCGTCCTTGGCCTCTTTCGCTTGCCCGCTTGTAAGGGTACCCTTGGGGCGGGCGGCCCCAAACATTCCAACTTCGGCTTCCAAGGGTCTTGCGTCCTTACCGCGCGTCCGTATTAGGGTTGTTGATTATAATTTGGCCAGAGTCGCTAAACCAGGTCTGTCGTGCCCGGTGTTTTTTTTCGGGTAACAGCAGTTCTGGTTCGTGGAACGGGGCGGGGGGGGCCCCCAGTACACATCAGTAGACCAGGTCCCACTAAACCCAGTTCTGCCAACGCCCGATTCCACTCCCCCTGGAGGGGGTCGGAGCGGGGAGGTGGTCAAGCAGTGGCGAGGCGTCCTGGCTTGCCTATAGACCCACCAAGTAATGTTTTAAACAACTTTTGGCTCGCATGTTCATAGAACATCTGGCTGGGGCTGCCTTGTTTTATTTAACACATCGGCTTAATGATCTAGGACGGTTGAATGCTCTAAAAACATGGTCTTCTTTCTTAGAACGTGTTCGGTTTCAAAGAATTTTTTGTGGTAGGACTACAGGAATGCTGGGACTGTCGGTCCTTGCTCGAACTGGAGGAGGTGGAGGGTGAGGAGGGGAGGGCGGGAGTATTGCAGCAGCTCCGACCGAAGGGGCGGGCAGAGGGGAAGGGGTTTTCAGCGATCCCGCTGGGGCCCGACCGACGGGTGCGTGGCACAATCCCTCCCAGCTCTCGCACAGTTCCCCCATCGGAGATGACCTCCTCCTCCCCCCTCCCATCGCCCCTCCTCGCTCTCCCTCCTCCTCCTCCTCCTCCTTCTCCTCCTCCTCCTCCTACTCTCCCTCCTCGTCCTCCTCCTCCTCCTCCTCCTCCTCGCTCCTCCTCGCTCCTCCCCGAGCCTCTTCCTCCGCGCCCTTCCTCCTCCCGGCTCCTCCCCCTCGCTCAGGCCTCCGCCCTTGGCCCCCCCCTTCCCGCCGGAGATGATGGAGTCCGTCGAGAAGACGGTGAACGTCTCGATCGACGACCACATCGCGGAGGCCCGACGGGGCTGCCCTGGCTCGTCGCAGCCCCCGCGGCACGGCGCGCGCTCTCGGGCGCCGGCTCGGCGGGCGGGGTGGGCGGTGCAGCGGCTGCTCCGGCGCCTCCTCGCGCCCGCGAGAGCGCCCCCCCGCGAAAGAGGAGGAGGGAGGAGGGAGGGGGGAGGAGGGAGGAGGGGGGAGGGAGGAGGGAGGAGGGAGGAGGGAGGGAGGAGGGAGGAGGGAGGAGGGACGGAGGAGGGATGAGGGAAGGGGGGGGAGGAGGGTGGAAGGAGGAGGAGGGAGGGAGGAGGGAGGGGAGGGAGAGGGGGGGAGGAGAGGGAGGGAGGGAAGGGAGGGGAGGAGAGAGGGGAGGAGGGAGAAGGGAGGGGAGGAGGGAGGAGGGAGGAGGGAGGATGGAGGAGGGAGGAGGGATGAGGGAGGAGGGAGGGGGAGGAGGGAGGAGGAGGAGGGAGGAGGAGGAGGAGGAGAGAGGAAGGGAGGAGGAGGGGAAGGGGGAAGGAAGGAGGAGGAGGAGGGAGGAGGGAGGAGGGAGGAGGGAGGAGGAGGGAGGAGGGAGGGAGGGAAGGGAGGAGGGAGGAGGGAGGAGGGAAAAGGGAGGAGGAGGGAGGAGGGAGGAGGGAGGAGCGAGGAGGGAGGGGGGCTCCTCTGGGGGCCTCCTGGGAGCTTCTCAGGCCGAGGGCTCGAAATGACTGTTCGGGTCCCCCGTCTGGGCTCCCTCTTGGGGGCATCTTGGAGGCCTCTTCTGCTATCCTGGAGGCCTCTTGGGCGGTCTTGGGGCCCTCTTGGGTTGTTTTGGGGCCCTCTTGGAGGCCTCTTGGGCCATCTTGGGGCGGTTTTGGGGACCTCTGGGCCTGTCTTGGAGCGTCGGGAAGCTGATATGGCGATAATGCCGAAATCTTTGAACAACCTAGGGCCAATGTATGATTTTGCCCATGCTTGGTGCCCTCTTGGAAGTCCTCTTGGAGGCTTGGGGCATTTTGGATACTTTTTGAGCCGTCTATAGGCTACTTTGGCGACTTGGACCGATACTTCGGTCATTCGGGGCCCTCGAGGACCATCTTGGGGGCATCTTGGAGCACTTTTGCCGCGTCTTGTGGCTTTCCTGGGCCCCCGAAACGCCCGGGGGGGAGCCGTATCTGGGTGGCGACCCCTCCTGGGACCCCCCCCCCCCTGCGGGGAAGGGATCAATGGGAAGGGGGTTCTTTTCTGGACGCCCGAAATGGGTGCGGAAATAATGGGTGCAATGCCCAACAGCAGATCCTGTTCATTTTGAACAGGACTCGCTGTCCACACCGCCGCGGCCTGTGTCCACTTGAGACAGAAGGCCGCCCGCCCAACAGCGGCCGCTGTTGGTTTGGAACAACATTTGTTGTTGGGCATTGTACCCATTTTTTCCGTACCCATTTCAGGCGTCCAAATCCTTCGGCTCAGCTACAACGTAGCTCTACTTCGCTGTGGCTGGCGCGCTCGATCGAGGAGGAGCGCCCGGTGACAGTGGGGGGAGCGGTGACGGGCCCAGGGAAAGGGGAGGGGAGGCGACGACGACGACGACGACGACCACGACGACGACGACGACGACAACGACCATGACGACGACGACGACGACGACGACGACGACGACGACGACGACGACGACGACGACGACGACGACGACGACGACGACGACGACGACGACGACGACGACGACGACGACGACGAGTCGAGCGGAACAGCCTCTTACACGCGCCGACAGAGTCGGCGAATTTGCCTCTTGGGTCCCTCTTGGGGGGCCTTTGATGTGCCTCTTGGGGCGTCCTGGAGCCCTCTTGGGCCATCTTGAGGCCATCGTGGGCGTCTCGGAACGACCTTGCGGCGACTCGGGGCCCACTTGTATTGTCTTGGGGGCCTCGTGGGGCCCTCTTGGCCCGTCGTCGGGCCGCCTTTGGTCCGAAAAAGTCGTGCGACAATCCGCGACAGGTCCAAAGGGGGGACGCGGGAAACCCCAGGACACGCGTACTCCGTGCCCAGAGGCACGGCGGCGGATAGATTAATGTGATCGTGATTTTTCGTTCCCCGTGGACCAGTTCTACGTGGCCATTGTGCACCTGCGGCACGCGCGTGAAGGACGTCGTGTTCTGACCGCAGCTCCTTCTTTTCCGCCTCTCTTCTCTCCCTGGCTCTTTCCGCGCCGCAATTCATTATCGGAGCGCCCCCCCGATGCTTGACCGGTACTTGCGTTGCTGATGCCCGCGGATCCGAAAGTCTCTTTGGGACCCTTGGGGCACGCGGCCCCTCAACCACGCACAGGTGGGGGGGAGATGGAGGAGGAGGAGTCAACCACGCGCAGGGGGGGGTTGAGGGGGAGAATGAGGAGGAGGAGGAGGAGGAGGAGGAGGAGGAGGAGGAGGAGGAGGAGGAGGAGGATGAGGAGGAGGAGGAGGAGGAGGAGGAGGAGGAGGGGGGGAGCTTAAAGGTAGCCTCGTCACGAAGCCTTCCCCCCTCCGCCTGCCCCCCCCGTGCGCGCCGCCACGGCCGGGCCGACGCCCTCCTTGCCACCGGCGCGGACAGCGCGTGGTTCCAACGCGAGAAGAGCAGCAGCAGCGCACGATCTCGGAGCTCCGCGAAGGTACCTTCGATCTGCACCGGGCCCCCAGGGCGGCGCCTCCGGCGCCGACCGTGGCGCGCTGCGCGCGCCATTATAGATGGGGGGCCCCGGCGCCGAGCCGAGGAAGCTGCCCGCCGCTCCGAGCGCGCGTGCCGCCGCCGCCCCCGACGAGGCCCACGCGGCCATCGACGGCGACCTCGAAGACCAGCCCGCGAGCGACCCCCGCCTGGCGCCCAGCGGGCGCCCCTGCCCCAGCGGCGAGCACCGGCCGCGCACCAGGATGGACAGGCCCGCGCGGCCGCGCGCCGGGAGGGGTCGGCGACTGCAGCGGGTACGGTTGTGCTGGGGTGTGGTTTTGCGATCGGCACCGCTGGGGCCCGGGTGGAGGGTTTCTCGGAAGGGCCTAGGCGACGCGTCCCTCTCCTCTCTCCTCCTCCCTCCTCCCTCCTCCCTCCTACCTCCTCCTCCTCCTCCTCCTCCGTCTCCTCCACCTCCTCCTCTTCTCCTCCTCCTCCTCCTCCTCCTTCTCCTCGGGTCGCCTACGTCCCCAGGGGAACCGTGTAGGCCGGGGGAGCGCGATACTGTCCTCGTCGGGCCTCTTCGGAGCGCGGCGCAGAACTCGATCGAAGTCGCCGTGCGCAGCCCAGGGTGCCCCCCCGGGGTGCGGG